CTCTGATGAACTGGCTGTGAGTTACAGAACTTTCTCCTACTGAACTAATTGTGTAAAACAATGTGCTTATGCCATGATGAGTTTTCTCCTCTATCAAATTCTGGAGCATGGTGCTTTACCTCAACAAGTTGAGTGTATAAATCAATACCTTCTCATGCAGAGAAAACCTCGTCTCTATGACCCGACACTCTATCCCAATAACCAAACCAGCATATTGGCAATAGCAACAGCAGGCAGACCATTGTTAAGATAAAGTACTTAAAAGAGTGAAAAGCACCAGTGCCCTGAACTTTTCCTGATCCTCACGTAGGCTCATAATAAACTCTCAAAGTGAGGATCAGTTCACACCAGTTCACTCTAGGTTCTCTTGGTAGTGCATTCACTCAAACTTTCCCTTTGAGAGTTTATGGACCTAGTTGAGAATCAGGAAAGCTTTGGGACCCTCAGTGTATTTAACTTGTATTTAAACAAGGAAAGATAGTTTAAATAAAGATTCTATAGCTATTCTAATCCATAATGTAGGGTCAAAAGGTGCTTGAGAATAATATCTTTAAGGACATACATTCTCGTCCCAACTCACTTTTCTAAAGTAAAGCTTGAGTAGATGTCCATGGACTTTGGTTTTTTTTTTTCATTGCAGCAATTAGCATAACGTATCTTGCCTTAAAATTTGCAGAATATTTCACAAACCAAATCAAAGATGACATAAAATATGCAATGATCTATCTAGAATAAAGCAGGCAAAAGTTGACATGCAAAAGAATCATACTTTTCATCAATGAACAACTCCACGGCCTTCTCATTAGCAGCGCTCAGAACTCCTGTCATGGTGCCTGAGCCCGCCCAGCTGCATAGGCTAGGTCCATTGATGGGTATTTTACATTGTCAGGAGCTTTGAACGTTAGTGAACCCAACCTGTATTAACCAATTGAACTTAAATCTGAATGCTCAAAACTGTTAACATGGAATGCTTACTATTTAAGAGATTGTGCAAAGTTTAGTTTCATAACACGTTTTGTTTTTCTTATCATCTTAATGAAGCATGTTCATGTTTAGCAACCTAACCATGGTTACTACTTGGTTATTACTAAACCAGTGGTTGAGTCAACCAGCTCAACTCATACATATAACTATTCAAAGGACACCAGAATTGCAATGAGCTTAGGTCAAGGTCCAAGCTTGATGAGCTGTTCGGAAAATTCAGTTGAAGTACAGTCACATATTTGTTTCCTAAAATTATGAGATGGTTGTCATAATATTTGCTGGTTCAAAACCCGTCAGATGCATTCACAAATGCACACACCAACAGCTGACTCAGGTGCCCTGACCCCTGACAGATCTATCAAGTATTGCCATCATATACCAGTAGCTTATTAGAACAATCCCATACTGTAATCAAGAAAAATAAGACTTGAATTCTTGAGGTCGTTTCCAAATAAAAGCATCAGCTGTACTGCAAAAGTAACACAGGAGTTGTGAAGATGTCATACTTGCAAAGATCCAGGCGGAGACCACGTGACCTCAGAGCAATAGATTCTATCTGGCCACGATAAGGTGTATAAGATTGGTATCCGCATATCCGGCCATCCCAATTGAGCTAGGACAGATGAATCCTGGGAAATAGAAGAACATGAATGCTAAAGACAATACTAAACCATATGTAAAGCCATTACAGAAACAATTCTGCATGTAGCATAACAACCTGAAAACAATCATAAACTTGAGATTCTGCTCCAGATGCTGGCATGCACTAATACAAGAGAATGAGGTGGAAATGAAAATATGCAGCATAGGATTAAGCGTGGATATGTTTCAGTGTACAAAAACACTACAGCTGGGCAGAATATCTCAACATGTGCTTTTTAGTAAAGCATATGACCATGGTTTAGGGCTCACCTGGGTTTCAACCATAGAGTGTATGATAGACTGTGGGTGAATGACAATCTCAATGTCATCATATTCAGCACCAAATAAATAATGTGCTTCAATAACTTCTAAACCCTACAAGACCAAGTCGTCACTTTAGTGATTAATATAATAAAATATGGATTAAATAAATTTTTAAAAGAATGGAGCTCTAAGACACCTTGTTGAATAAAGTAGCAGAATCTACTGTGATCTTCTTTCCCATATTCCAGTTTGGATGCTTTAAAGCGTCAGCAACTTTTACATCTTTCAGCCTGTCAACTGGCCAGTCCTGTCATGATCAATTGATATGAGAGATGGATTCGTATGTTTCAGAAGTACATATAACACATAAGGGGTGGACTTGCCTGAAAGCACCACCTGATGCAGTTAAAATAATGCTGATGAAGTGCTCCTTCTGGCAAGCCTTGTATACACTGGTACAAGGGAAGCAGACTCTAATAAGCAAAGAATGCCATAAATCATAAAATGCATTGCACATTATTTCAAGTTCAGAATTGTTAGTTTGTTTAAACACCCAAAGCCAGTAATGTATCTTTCCCAACCTTACACCAAACATGCATAATAATAAAAAGACAGCTGCAGCAACAAGCAACATTTTGTGAGATACCTGAAATATTGCAGAGTGCTCAGAATCAGCAGGAAGAATTTTCACTTTGTGTTTGTGTGCAAGGGGAAGCACGAAAGGACCACCTGCAATAAGCGTCTCTTTGTTTGCCAATGCTATGTCTTTACCAGCTTCGATTGCAGCAACTGTAGGCTAACAGAACAATACAAAGTTACCAAGTCAGCTATATTCACTGAAAAAATTGCTCATTTATTTGGGTGCACCATACTGCACCCATTTACATAAAGTTCAAATTAATATGGAAATAAAAAAGATAATATTAAGATACTTGGCAATCTAAAAGTATCACCACCTAGTGATGATGATCCTCCACTTATCCTGATAGGCTGATACTGCACTATAATAAAAAAAGGGGGCCATGGAACTCGGTTCTCAGAAGATACAAAATATGGCACTATGGCAGGCAATAGGACAATGACATATATACCACTACCATATGCTTTTTGCATCGAATTAGAGATGCCAAATATGCCTATCTATGTCTGGAAATAAAGTAAAGATTTATCTTCATTGTATACATGATATTGTCGTAAAATTACCTGTACTCCTTTTTTAACACCTTCTAACTGTATAAATATAGCAACCCAAAATAGTTAAAATTCGTAGACAATTTTTCTTACTATATATTTGCGATGATTCATGAAATACAAGCGTGTTCACAAGGAAAGATTTATGCAGCCAAATGACATCAGAATTCAGAACGACAGCTTTCTGTTTTTCTTAAAAGCTTCTATAACTATATCTTAAAAGGGCGTACCCAGTGCGTAGAGCTCCCTTCTCACATGAGAATGTCTCGGGAAGGTGTCGTTGGCAAGTCTTACCTCGCACTTTGTGCAATGCGAGGAGACCACGACTCGAACCTGGGACCTTCCGGTCACAGTCGGTAAGACTATACCGCTTGCACCAGGCCCGCCCTTCTTCTATAACTATATCTTAGTGCAAATAAATTTATTGACCTAACAACAGGAAAATATTACATATAGGCATATAAATATCATTTATACACAAACAGTTTATAAATTGTTAGGAAGTATTATTGCAACATTAGATTCTTGGAACACCCAACATAAAGGAAAGCACAAAGAGCAATATGCTAAATAGAAGGGGCATTACCTTCAGCCCTGCACACCCTACTATCCCTGTGACAACTGTAACTGCATCTGGGTGCCGAGCGACCTATTACTCAAAAGTTGAATATTTGAGAAATTTTCAGAGCAAACCTTTAGTTTTTTGCAGACATAGGATCATAAGAAAAGCCTTACTTCTATGACACCTTGCTCCCCAGGAATAATTTCTGGCTTCTCATCGCAATCAGCTAAGGCTTCTTTTAGTTCATCAACTAATGATTCGTTTCTTACAGCAACCAACTTAGGTTTGAATGTTTTGACCTGTAGTAAATTACATCCAAAACGCTCAAATGAGTGCATAGTTTTTACCTTACAAGTTTAATGTTCAAATGAGCGTTAAAATCTCTTTCAAGCTTGTAAAAAAAGGGCAAAAAGAAAAGAATATACTCAAAAACATCACTGTACCTGATCAGCTAGAAGCGTGACATTGGATCCAGCAGCAAGAGCAACAACTCTGAACTTATCAGGATTCTCCGCAACAATGTCCAATGTCTTTGCATTATGTAAAAGATGAAATATTAGTGCTGCAGAATATCAGTGTCTCTAGTTTCATACCTATCAACTTATCATAAGGTAAATGTAAGAGATGTCGATTAACATCAAACAAATTGTTATGAGCAACATGTTGACTAGACTTGAAACCTGAAGCCCACAAGTTACAGAAGGATGAGAATATTAGGGTGTTTTAGATCCAAAATTTTTAGGTTTTGGGTACTGTAGCACTTTCGTTTTTATTTGGCAATTAGTGTCTAATTATGGACTAATTAGGTTCGAAAGTTTCGGCCTCGCGATTTCTCACCTAACTGTGCAATTAGTTTTTTTTTCGTCACATTTAGTACTCCATGCATGTGCCGCAAGATTCGATGTGACGGTGATTCGCATAAAAATTTTGGTTTTGGATGGAACTAAACGGGCCTTATTACATCAAACTACAAACGAATGATCTGCATGCAAAATATACCAATTCTACTGGATCCAAACAGATGCATATGCACCAATTCGCTAAAGTTTGATCTATCAACTACCAACATTATCTGCACAGCTAACAGAGCAATGTTATGGAATGACAAATTTCATCCATGAGTCTTCGATTAATCCTTTTACCTGTGTTCCTATGGAACCAGTTGATCCAACAATCGAGATAGGCTTTGGGCCATCCCATGACCTCCGGCCAGGCTCGGCAACAGCTCGCCCAGGCCATGCTGGTGGTGGAGCCTGTTGCATGGAACAGCATGTCCTTCTCAGTGAAATAGCTCGTTTGCCCTTCCTTTGAAACGTAAAATCCACTACAATGAGACAGATCAAAGTAAGATTAGAAAAACAACACTACTAACCACAATTTACAACACAAATAAGTCTCTGTCACTAAGAAAGACCGTTGCAATCGTGCGTGACTGCAATATGGTCCATAAAGTGGACGAGTTTAAACCCTGAATTATTGACCTGATTTGACCAATTTTGTAAACATTCATGTAAACTTCAAAACCATGTGCACCGACCAGTTAACATAACCGGGCGTCACAAGACAACGGTGTTACCACCTCTGGATCATATCAAATCACTAGAAAGTATAAACTGAATTGGAACCTGTGAGGAATATATTCGAAGAACAGTATATATTCCAACGGCTGAAGTAGCAAAAGGCAACTTGAGGCCCATATATTTCGGAATTTAATTCACCCAGGTGAAGTGATGACGAAAGAAGCGATTCAAGACACACGTAAGAAGCGATTCCAGACACAGAAGAGGCCGCATAACATTCTGGAAATCTCGGCCCTGTAACCCGCGTAGCAGAAAATTCTATATGTTTTATCTCAGAAGAGTGAAGGAGCTACAGTATAACTTTTTCCCCGGAGAAAAAATTCTGCCTTTTAGGATGTCAAAATCATAACAGTTATTAGAATCAGAGTTTGCAACTTTACAATGACTATACCCTCCGAGGATCGCAGTTCCCATGCACTCTGCACGGAGACGGGGCCCAACCATACTAGTAGTGTTTCCTATAATGGTAGACGAGGCATAGCCACCAAGTGGAAGAACGATGAACAACAGGACAGCACAAAGACCTCCTAGTCTTTGCAGAGCGACACATAACAATTCGCACGGTGACACACATCGCAAATCGCTTGGAATGGAACCCAGAAATATCAAATTAAATCGATGGAATGGGGTCAAGAAGAGCATCAAACTGGCCAGAAAACACGGGACGGCAAAGTCGAGTGCATCAGGCCGGAAAAGCAAGAAGATAAACTCATGCACCGATCGGGAAAAAAGGAGGCACCGAAAGAGGAAAAGATCCAACCTTTGTGCTGGACGAAAGGTCCCCTGCTGGAGTCGAGGAAGGAGACGGCGCTGAGCTCCCCGGAACGACGCCTTGAGTGTAGCCATCCCGGATTGTTGGCGAGGCTGTGGTAATGGCCGCTGGGCGAGGAGGAGGAGAGGGAGGGGAGCGGTTGTGGCGGCCGTCGCTAAGGCCGAAGCGGAAGCGATGGCGGCGACGGGGATGGACGGAGCGAGATTGCGCCTGGCGAGTTTTATAAACAGAGGACGGAGGAGGGGGTGTGTGGAGGGAGAAGTGGAGATAAGAAGACGAGATGGGAATCTGAGAGTCCTATGGATGCCGCCGCAAGCGGCCGATGCCCGCCCGCCTGCTCCGCTCTCAGCATGGGATTTTGTATTGCTCGCTCTGTGACTTGTGAGCCGTGACTCAGGAGCGTGGACGCACTCACAGACAGTCGACTGGTGATAGTGGCTATAGGGTGCCTTCTGGCCAGTCAGTCACACAGTCACCACACATGGACTGGGATAACCCTGCCAGTCAAATTTTTGGGCATGTTTGTTATAAATAATAGGCAATATAAACGATGAAGAATAGTAGATCAAGCACAGAGAACGAGATTTTAACGTAAAAAACCCTCTCAAGATGGAAGGAAAAAAACCACGGGCATCAATCAACAAATCTTTACTATATCGGATGAGGTCACAAACGTCGGAGATTTACAACTTGGAGATACCCTAACCTGGAGGCCTTCCCGTATAGAAGTCTATGATGCATATTTTTCATAAGGGAGGTGGTCCGTATATATAGGGAGGAAAACCCCCACACCCTCATCTATTAGCAATACGGAACTAATAGATGGTGTAGTTCCTCTTAACGCTAATGGGCCGCTTCGCTTCGGCCCAAGCTAGCTCAACAAACTCCACCTTGAGACAAATTCCTTCTTATAGCATAAAATGAACCTTCACCCTGAAACAACAAAGAAATACTTCCGGTGCCAAATAGCCTCTTGGGCTAAACAGTTATACCAACTAAGCTTGAGCAAAGCTCAAACTTAGCAACAGGAACTGGCTTTGTCAACATATCAGCAGGATTATCATGTGTGCTTATCTTGCATACCTTCAGCTTACCTTGCACGACCACATCGCGAACATAATGGTATTTGACATCGATGTGCTTCGTTCTCTCATGGAACATCTGATCTTTAGTAAGACATATAGCACTTTAACTATCACAAAATAAATTAATGCAAGAATCATCTCCACAAAGCTCAGCAAACAAACCTTTCAACCAAACTAATTCTTTACATACTTCAGCAATAGCCATGTATTCTGCTTCAATGATAGACAGGGCAACAACGGGCTGCAATGTTGCCCTCCAACTCACAGAACAACCACCAATAATGAACACATAACCTGTGAGAGATCTCCTCTTATCTAAATTAGCAGCAAAATCTGAATCCACGTAGCCAGTGAGTCCCCTATAACTCCTGCCAAACTTTAAACAAGCATTTGTTGTGCCACGAAGGTACCTGAAAATTCACTGAACAACCTTCCAATGTTCTTTACCAGGATTAGCCATGTATCTACTAACCAAACTCATAGCATATGATAAATCAGGACGAGAGCAAACCATGGCATACATCAAAGAACCAACAACACTAGAATATGAAACTCTTGACATGTACTCAAAAGCCTCATCCGAACTAGCACATTGTAAAGTTGATAATTTGAAATAAGGAGTAATAGGAGTACTAACAGACTTTGCATCATGTATGTTGAAACGATGAAGAACTTTCTTAATGTAACTTTGCTGACTAAGAAATAACAAACCAGAATTTCTGTCTCTTGTAATTTCCATACCTAGAATCTTCTTAGCAGCACCAAGATCCTTCATCTCAAACTCACTACCCAACAGTTTCTTCAACATAGTGATTTCTTTCTTGCTCTTGGCAGCAATCAACATATAACAACAAATATATAGGTGATCCATCAACAAATTTAATGTACACATAGCTATCAAATTCAGACCTCTTAAAACCATGTGACATCATAAAAGAATCAAACCCTTTATACCATTGACGAGGAGACTGTTTCAAACCATATAAGGACCTCTTTAATTTGCAAACATGATCCTCCTTACCATGTACTATGAACCCTTCTGGCTGGTCTATGTATATCTCCTTCTCGAGCTCTCCATGTAGAAACGTAGTCTTTACATCTAACTACTCAAGCTCAAGATCTCGCATAGCAACAATACCGAAAAATATACGAATTGAACTATGCTTTACAACTGGAGAGAACACATCATTATAATCAACGTCGAGAATCAATCGAAACCTTTTGCTACTAACCTTGCCTTAAATCTTGGAGGCTCACTAGAGACAAACCCTCATTTCTTTTGAAGATCCATCTGCAACGAACGGCCTTCTTGTGTTTAGGCAAGCGCAAAAACATCCAATGTGCCATTTTTCTCAAGTGATCGCATCTCTTCTTGCATATAGCGAAATCCACTTCTCGCGGTCACCGTAAATAACAAACTTCAGGTAATGAGTCGGCTCATGAATGTTCTCAACCTGCTCAAAGACAACTAAAGGGCATAATGAATAATATCACATTCCTCAATTAAACGTGGACGAGGTCCACAACTTCTCTTTGTTCTACTTGATCTACAATAGACCGATTTTGAGGCTACAAAAACAGAGATGAGTGTTGAACAATATCATGAACATTGTTATCAATAATCACCGGCATACCGCACCATATCTTAATGGGAGTTTTCTTATTAAGTGGGATAGAAGGTGACCGGTTGATCAAGTAACAGCGGTGTTAGCGACCTCACCCAAAAACGCCTGCTCATACGAGCATTGGACAAGATGCAACGAGCCCTCGAGATGATGGTTCGGTTCTTGCACTCACATACCACACCATTCTCACGAGGAGTATGCGGGATGGTGTGGTGCCCGACAATGCCTTCTTCCCCAGTAGTAATCATTAAAAGCATCTCAATGTAATTCACCGCCATTGTCGATCTGAAGCAATTTTACCTTCTTTTTAGCTTTGCCTTTCTATCATAACTTTCCACTCTTTAAAAAAGAAGCAAAAAGTATCATCTTTATTTTTTAGAAAGTAAGGCCACACTTTTCTAGAGTAATCATCAATAATGGTAAGCATGTAACGAGCACCACCATAAGAGGGCTTACGAGACGGCCCCACAAATCAACATGTACATAATCAAGTGTACCTTTGGTGGTATGAACAGATGCATTGAATTTTACCCTCTTGTACTTACAAAAAATACAGTGCTCATAAAACTTCATCTTACCCACAGTGCAGCCATCCAGCAAGTCTCTCTTGATCAATTCTGCCATACCAAGTTCACCCATATGCCCAAGACGCATATGCCAGAGATTAGTTTTACTTGGTTCATCATGAGAAACAGTAGCAGTAGTGACGGAACCATGTAAAGTACTTCCTCTAAGAACATATAACTTTGCAGAATTCATATCACCTATCATATGAATGAGAGCCTTTTGATACCTTACACACTCCACCTGAACCGGAGTGTCTGTACCCCTCGGCATCAAGTGTGCTGAGGGAGATGAGATTTCTGGCCATCCCTGGTATGTGTCTCATATCTTTCAGTGTGCGTATCATGCCATCATGCATCTTGATCTGAACGGAGCCAATGCCCACGATCTCAGGTGGGTTGTTATCTCCTATACGTACGACATCTCCACTCTACACAGACTTGTAAGAATTGAACCAATCTCTATCTCCACTCTGCACAGACTTGTAAGAACTGAACCAATCTCTGTTAGAGCATATATGAAACGAGCATGCAGAATCAAGTATCCATTCATCACGACCAGCAACACAACCAGCAAAAACAACCAGAATATCTCCTGAATCAGAATTATCAACAATGGAGACAACAGAGGCCTTACCATCACCATCGGATTTATTTTTTGGTTTATACGTACCATTTCTTTTCTCCTTATTCTGCAGCTTCCAACAATTCTCAATGACATAAGTATCTTTCTTACAATACCTGTAGAACTTATCCCTGCCTCTAGACTTCGAACGACCTTTACCATTGTTGTAGGTTTTCTGCTCGAGCCTGCCTCTAACCTACAACACTTCGCCCTTGGAGGATGACACATCAGACTGAACCATACCTTTCATCTTCTCCCTCGTCTAGAGGGCCTCATATACTTCCACAAGGGTTAGTTCATCACAGCTTAATAGTATGGTATCTCGGAAATTTGCAAACGAAGTAGGCAGTGAGCATAACAGTAGAAGAGCTAAATCTTCATCATCATATTTTACCTCCATCGACACTAGGTCGGCAACGATCTCCTTAAAGATCGATAAGTGGTTCATCACCGAACCACCTTCTTGCAGCTTGTGCGTGAACAACTTCATCTTCACGTGCATCTTCTTCGGGTTAGATCCTTAGACATGCGAGATCGATTCCACTGAGCCAAAGTTCTACTGGCAGTTTTCTTCTGCAGACTTCTTGCAAAATATCATTATGTAGATGAAGTTGAATCGAGAGATGAGCCTTACAATCCTTTCGCTTCTCTCACGCCGGTCCCATGACTTCTGCCCTTTTCCTCCGAAATCGTCCAAATACCTCATCAAGATCCGAAGATTGTGCTAGAATCACTCGCATCTTGACTTGCCCAAAGGCAAATCTCGTCTTGTAATCCAAAGAAGATGAGATCAAACTTCATCGATGCCATTGCGAAACCCTAAGGTCAAACCAAGCTTTGGTACCACTTGTTATAAATGATAGGCAATATAAATGACGAAGAACAGTAGATCAAGCATAGGGGACACGAGATTTTAACGAGGAAAACCCTCCCAAGATGGAAGGAAAAAAACCACGGGCACCAGCCAGCAAATCTTCACTATATCGGGTGAGGTTACAAACGTCGAAGATTTACAGTGGGGATACCCTAACCTGGGGGCCTTCCCGTATAGAAGTCTATGATGCATCTTTTCCATGAGGGAGGTGGTCCGTATATATAGGAAGGAAAAACCCCACACCCTTGTCTATTAGCAATACGAAACTAATATATGGTGTAGTCCCTCTTAACGCTAATGGG